AGGCCAAGTTTCCGGCACCCCCGATTTAGGTTCGGTGCCCCCCAGTTCGAAAGCTGATTCGCGCCCCTCACCGTGGAGAATGTAAGGGTAGAGGCTTTCCAATCGAAGGGTTCGCCTTCTTCCACGCTGGGGGCCCATCCATTCAAAGGCGCCCGTCTCGAGCAGGGCGGCGCTCGTGGCCCGGTCAACGGGGATGCCGCCGAACGGAGTCTCGTAAGTGGCGCACGAAGACACGGCACAGCGCGACATGGAGTGGTGGTGTGACGGACCCAGCACAAAGACGCGCCTGATACCGGTCGGCGACACGTGCTTGTACGCCCACGCCGCCGTCGGCCCCGAGTAAGAGAAGCCGGCATGCGGCGCAATGACGGCGCGTGCGGCACCGGTGCAGGCGTTCGCCTGCTCGAGCCAGCCTGACATCTGTGCTGCCAGCTGGTCACGCCGCGATGAGTACCAGGAGCCGGCGTGGGTGGCTCGCCGAGATGATGGTGATGGCCTCAATGGCGCGCATGACGTTGAGTACATCCTCGCGGGTTCGGACTTTTCGCGAGCCACACCGGCAGGGTTCGGCTCCTACCCAGATAGGGGGTCTGTCGACATAAACGCACAACCCCGGGCCCGAAATCGCAGAGAGACAGTGGGTCTGTCCACACTGAGTCGCGCCACCTACCTATTGCGGGCGCCAACCGCCAGGCTCAGTGCCCCACCTACCTACCTATTGCGGGGCCGCGCAGCGAAGCGAAAAATACCCGTTTAGCCCTTCTGTGAATAGGCTCCGCGGGCGCCGCCGCCGCACTCGTCTCGGCTGGCGTCCCAGCCGCAGGCGACTCGTCTGGCATGGCCCGTTCGCGGCTAGCCGTCTCCCGCGCGAGCGAAGCGGTTTTTTAAACCCTCGGCTGTGGGTCAGGCTGTGCTGTATAAGGCGCGCGAGGGGCTGGGTGCTTTGCTACCTTGCTTGTGTCTCCCGTGGCCGGGACGGTTGGTTGGGTGGTGGGGGTGGGTCGGTCGGTGGGGGTGGGTTTCCTCGCCTCATCAGCCGGGCCGTGAGGTGGGTGGGGCTGGGGGTGGGTGGGTGGTTCCAAGCCTCAGCCGGGCCGTGAGGTGGGTGGGGTGGGTGGGTGGTTCCAAGCCTCAGCCGGGCCGTGAGGTGGGTGGGTGGGTGGGTGGCTCAAGAAGCTCGTGCACGTGAACGGAGGTCCAGAGGCACGTGGTGTGAGAAAAAACCAAACGCTGTTGGAACCACGCTCTCTGATCTTCGCTCAGTCCCACCTTATGGCACCCAGCCGCACGTGGGAGGACCTCTTCCCGCAAGACGTTCAGATCCTCATCGCTGGCGCCCTCTCTGTGTCGTGCGACCCGCTGTGCCGACCACCAGTGGCAGCAGCGGCTGTCGCCGGCGTGTCCCACGCTCTTCGCGAGCTCCTCCGGCCGGCGCTTGAGGAAATGCGGGCAGCGTGGACGAAATCAGGCGAGATGGCGACATCGCTGGGCATGACCAGGGAGCAGGTCGAGTCCGCCACCGTGCTGTGCCCGGCATCAGGCTTCGCGGCCGGCCACGCCGTCACGCTGGGCGAGCTCATGCCGTTGCTGCGAGGTTTGCTCCGCCTCGACCTCGCGCACAAGAGCCTCGGGCTCCGTCCCTTGCGGCCGCTCCTCTCGGCTCTCGATCACGCCGCAGCGCCGCGGCTTCAATTCCTCGTCCTCGACGGCAATCTGCTGGGCGACGAGTTCTGTGGCGCCCTTGCAGCGGTGCTGCTCGAAACCGACTCCCCTACGCTGGCCTCGCTCAAGGAGCTGCACCTCGCACACAACCGCATCACTAGCCGCGGTATTGCGGCGCTGTCAGACACGCTCTCTTTCGGGGCGCTGCCGCAATGCGAGGCCCTCTCGCTGGCGTCCAACAGGGTTGGCGATGCTGGCGTCGCGGCGCTCGTGAGGAGCAGCATGGGCGGCGGCGGCGGCCTCAGGAAGCTGCGGCGCCTCTTTCTTCACTCCAACCTCCCCATCACAAGACTTGGCCTCCGGGCGCTCAGCGCCGCCCTCTGGGACCGCGCCACCCTCCCGGCGTTGCGAGTGCTCCACCTGCCCGCACTCAGCTCGCACGCGCAAGCGCAGCACCCCGCGATTCCGTGGTATCCAGACGACGAGACGATCGCGGCCTCCTCCGCGCGGGGGGTCGACGTGGTGTGGTGCTTCGACCTGTCGGACAGGGCGTAGATAGGTATGCATGCGTTTGTGGTGTGCGTTTGTGGTGTGCGGTCACTTTCTACACGCGGCGTAGGAAAGTGACTAGCCCAATGAGAAAGAAAGTGTCGGGCCGTCGGGGGACAGTCGGGGGAGCGACGGGAACCCAGATGACGGTCGCGCGGGGCCGCCGACTCGCGTCTCCGTCAAACTGGCACTATTGTAGCCCTCGCTGGCTCCCTATGGCGGAGCCGGGGGTGCGCGCGGGGGCAAGTTCGAAGTTGCTCACTGCGGCGCGCGGGGGGGCGAGAGAGCACCTCTCGTCCGCTGGGTGGGTGTGCTGCGGAGTCTGTGAGGCCACGGAAAGCAAGAAAAGAATTCCGTCTGGGTCCGAACGCCGGTCCCTAAGAAGATCTCGACGATGTCACGGCTGACTCACGCCCGGCTCCCCTCTCCCGCCACCCTCGATCAGCTCTGCCTCTGGAGCTCCCCTACACACCTGCCTCGCGGCATGCCGCTATTTAGTGTTCGAGACGGCACGCAAGGAAAAGTGTCAACTGTCATTCGCTCGCGGGCCCCGCTCGGCTCGCTGCTCCCTCCGCTCGGCCCATGCCGCTTTTTAGTCCCTAATTACTATAATATTTTGTAATTTATTAGTGTTCTCTCTCGAGACGCAGCAGACGCGCAGGGCGAGACGAGGGAGGGAGCAGGACTTTGCGGAGATCAGCAGGAGGATGTACGAAGAGATTAGGAGCAGCAGGGACCCGAGGGACCATGTGGAAGACGGCTATAGTGCTAGTCCCCCATCGGGAGGACGACCCCGGCTAGTCTCCGACCACACCCACAAAGAACCCTGCACAAAGATCGCAAGGGCGGGGGCCTGTTCCTTTTTACCCATCTCACAGTAGAGAGGTGTCCGTTTTTATTTATTTATTTATTTCTCGAGACGCAGCCGGCTCGAGACGCAGCGGTAGTCCTAGAGTTTTAGAGTGGCCCATTCGTGTTTGCTCCGAGGAAGAAACAAGACGCACTGTACGCATGTCTCCCCGCGAGGTCTCGGGTTTATCAGTGCCCCGCGAGGTCTCGGGTTTGATTATATTTATTTCTCCCCGGGGCGGGCGTGGCCGAGTAGAGTCCAACGACATCTGGTCCTCGCCACCACGGACCAAAACCGCTCTTGCAGCTTGTATGTAGATGTCACCGCGGGAAACGAGAACGATCACCTGCCATGACGATTGGCGCGAGCGGTGGGTCGCCCCTGGGGGGCGTTCGACGCGGGGCGGCCACCGCCGACGCCGCAGGCCGGGCGGAGGAGCTCGGCCGCGCGGAGGCCGAAGAGCTCGGCCGCGCGGAGGCTGAGGAGGAGCTCGGTCGGGCGGCACACTGCGCGCGACCTCCAAACACGGCGAGGCCTATGTCGCCAAATTGCAGCAGTGGGGCGGCTTTGGGCAGGACCGCGGCGGCAACGCCTCCAGAGGATAGCGCCGCGCGGAGCCGCCAGCCCTCCGGCGTGCGCACTTATCGGCCGTGTGCGAGCAACGCGGCGCTGCGCCGCGCGAATCTCTGAGAGGTTGCGCTCGGTCAGCATGGCGAGTCGCTCCAAATCGGCGGGGTGCAGCCCCGTGAGAACGCGCACGTCAAGGGCCACCTACACTGGTCACGGCGTGGCTGACGACGCCGCACCGCTGGGCCCGCGGCCAAGAAAGATCGCGACCGGCATGGCGGCCTCGCGCCCGACAGCAAGCGGCTCGAGCAGCAACCGCCTGCCGCTTCCGGGCCGGCTGGCCGAAGCGGGAGTGGGCGGGCTCGGCGTCGACGCGGCACTGCCCCCTGCGGCCGCGCGTCTGTCCTCCCGGCTTGCCTTTAGGCGTGACACGATGGCCTCGGCGTCGTCGCACTGCTGCTGCAGTAGCCGCCCCGAATATTGCGCGGCTTGCAGCTCCTGCCTCAATATCGCCGACTCCCGCCTCGAGTCCTCGAGCTGCGCCTGAAGGGCTCTGAGCTGCGGTCCGTGCGGCGGATCTTCCCCTCCACTTGACCTTGCGGCTTCCTTGGCCGTTGCCCTCGCCTCCGTTCGCCGCCCCCAATGCCTCACTGTCGGCGCAGCCCCACCGCCGACGTCGCCATCGCCCGATGCCCGAGAGAAGCGCGAGTCGGGCAGCAGCACCTCCTCCTCCTCCTCCTCCTCCTCTCCCTCCATCTCGTACTCGTCCTCATCGGACATCGCGAAGAGCGACGCGTCGCCCGAGGCGCGGCGCTGGTCGTGCGGCGCAAAAACTCGCAAAAACTCGCACGTGGAGAAGGACGATGCCCGGCAGCGTTCCAGAAAAGGGTGGGCCTGCAGCTCACGCGCCGTTG